CAAACATACGTAAGCATTTATGCGATGTATCCAACCGATTTTGTCTGAACGATAATATATAGAACGTCGAGACTGTTATCTTTTATCTTACAATTAAAAAGATCAACAACGACAAGTCTTTATCTTCAACACTTTAGTCGACACGTTTTACTTAGTAGGGGGTCTTGTTTAATTGCATCATTTCATTCTAATCTCTTATAACTTGATGTAACTTTAAATTCACACACACACACACATACATATATTTCTTTAATTATTTTTCTCTTTTTTTTTAAATTTGATCTCTTCAACAAAATAATTATTAATTCATATATACATTCATATATATATATATTGAATTATATATATAGTGTTATATTATATATATTTATTAATTTATTATTTTTATATTTTATATATATATATTTTTTTTTTGTTTTGTTATATATAATATAAATTATATATATTACATAAATAATATTATTGTTAAATAGTAGTAATACTATAATATATATATTATACTATTTATTATATATTATATAATTAATATTATTATAATAAATATTATATAATATAACAATATAAATTAACTAATTAATTTTAGTAGTTAAATAATAATTATATAAATTAATTAAATAATTAATTTATAAAATATATATATTAATATAATTATATATATATATATATGAAGATCTTTATATTGTTTTTTTTAATATGAATTTATATTCTATAATAATACAAATAATATTTTAATTTTTGCAATAGAAAATTTATTAATAATTACACAAGAAAAAATTAAGTTATAAAAATTTAATTTCTTAGTTTGAATAATGTATTACTTATAAAAATATTTTAATTGTAACAATACATTATATACAAATAATACTTAAAATATATTTAATTATAATTTGCATGATTATTATTGTTGTAACATATCATCAAATATAAAATCATCCGTTTATTTACAAAGATTTTTTATTTTTTTTTATTTGGTCTCATATGTTTACATTGGAAAGTAGACTGTCCAGAATTATAAATAGAATTTGTATTTATTCGTAATGTGTCCAGGTCGTATGATGATAACCCGATCTAGTTAGAAGTTGATGTAACAAAAGGAATTCAAAAGTTATTGGAAATTGATATATTTCGTTAGAAATAATTAGAAAACAATGTCAGCATAAATAACAGATATTCATAGCGTGTAGATACTTATGCATAGAATTGGTAGATATGTAATTACATTGTAAAACAACTTTCTCTGAAGTTGGAAAATCCCGGCACGTTCTCGTCATGATCATCAAGGATCTGTTTTTGCATCATCCTAACATTTTACATCATACTTTTCAAACATCAATGCACACGCGATAATTAGTTCATTTATTTATTTATTCTAGATCTATGTTTACTCATTATGTCATTCTTTTAACATTGTAATCATTTTATATAATCGTACGCGACGTTACAATAATAATCGATAATAAAAATAATAACAATAATAACTATTTATATAAGAAAATAAAAATGCAAATTTTTTTTATTGAATTACATCAATGTAATATTATAATCAATAATTATGATCATATTAAAAAAAAAAAAAATAATAAAAAATGATTCATGAATTCCCAATCGAATTTATCGTGACACAAATGTCCCCATTATTTTCTTCTAATTAAATAAAAAAAAAAAAACAATTGATTTTTATTAATGTCAATAGAATCATATTGGTGAACAAAAATATCGGTAATGATAAACTACCGTTTCCGATACGACGAAGAAACGGTAAGGTCAGTTTCCAGGTCGTTTTTCTATCTTTCTACTTCTCTCTTTTTCTGATGTAACTTGGTAAAGTCTTAACTCGGTAGGTCAAGAAACTCTCTTTCTCGTTTGTGCTCGTTTTTTTTTTCGCTTCGGTTATGAGGAATGTACGAAGAAAGCTGAATCATGTGTTTACATGTGATACGAGCTAAGGTTATTCCTTACTTTTTTATTTATTTACATTATTGAATGCGTATGTAATACTTAAAACCTGATACACATACATATGCACCTGCAGGATTGGAAAGTAAATGTGCAAGATATGACATCACGAAAAGTTCAATAACAAATATGTTTACATCTTGTTGTCAATCAATAGATTAAAAATTTAAGTGATACGAGGTAAGGTGTTTTTCCTTAYTTATTTATTTATTTACAGTTTTGTTTATGTACATACAAAATACGTGCGTTAACACCTGATACACATACATATGTACTTGCAGGATTGAAAAGTAAACGTGTGAGGTATCACGTATGACGACATATTACGAAAAGTGCAATAACAAATATGTTTATACCTTGTTGAATTAATAAATTAAATATTTAAGAACATTTATTTGATTATATTTCTTTCCTATTTTAATCGATTACGTTCGAATCGTTATTATCTACATTATCAATAAATTATGTGTTACCACCCCTATAATTGTCATTCAGACGTCTTTAGGGACTTCCTTGGTATTTCCAATTGTAATTTCAATTAAAGAACAATGCCATTTAATAATAAAACTACGTTGGTATATACTAAGAATTCGAATTTTAGTCAATTGTTTTTGATTTATGAAATGAGTCACGTATTCATCTTTTTAAAGATTATGATACAAATAGTAAATTCATTCATAAATGAGATATATGTATTATATATTTCGTAGAAACTTATGTCATTCGATCCTTTTAACTACTTCACTTCTTCTTCATTGATAATTTTTTTTTTCTTCACAGTATGTGTTATTTATGATAAGACGAAATTATAACATTTTTCCAAGAAACTTCAATTACGTTTTGTTGTATTTAAAAATATCTCACTTATTACATATATCTATAATTTTCATTGAATTGTGCAAACAAAAATGCATAATTATTTTCTATTCGAATTTTTTAATGAATATAGATTGCAATTACTATAATTATATTAATTTAAATATACTTTATAATATATTGTAACCTTACGTAATATTATTATTGATTTTATACGTAATAGATTTTGATACAGGATTTCTTAAAAGGATCAATTGGAAAGATGATAAATTTACGTCAGAAATTTGCAGTTGTTATTATTCAATGAATTGAGTTGTAAATAAGAATGGGGTTTAATCACCGCGACGATGTCATTCATTATAAGATTGAATTTTTTTTTCCTGTTAAAGGCCAGACGTCAATGAAACGACAAAAAATTACTTCAACTAGTTGAGGAAATATTTCGAGGAAAGGATGAATGATTTGTGCCCAATGACGTGCATCTTATAATTGAATATTATTTCTACGCATTTTAACCCAATCTCTGATTTTTTTTTACATATAGTTTAAAACTATATTAAACTATATGTAATATAGTTACATTATATGTTAATATAGTTAAATTATATGTAATATATATTAGCAATATATAATAAATGTAATTTCCCGAATTAAAACAAATTTCATGAATGAAAATTATATGAATACTTTGTAAAAATGTTTTGACCAATGACATATTATTTTTGATTTTACAATTAAATTTCATAGAGGTGACATTTGTCAAAAGTGTGTTAGATTTTTCATATCTTAAAAAATATGAAATGTTATATTTTTTAAAATAA